GTTACCTAATCAATAGCTCAGTCTCAGTGTAGCTTAAATATTGAGCTGCTGCTTCTTCTTTTGATCCCTTCTGTGTATCTTTTTTCAGTCATTAGGGAGGTTTCTCTAATTCTGTGCATAACTTGAGTATCCTCTCTGACATAGAAGCATTTCTAGCTCCTTGCACTTTGATATGTAGCCTTGCTCCAAGGGAAGCTCCCCCCCAGCCAGACTACATACCGTCAACTAACACAGGATTGCACCATCGTGCACCCCCGTGGCCATAACATCCTCTGCTGGCCTTGGCAAGCACAGTCATGTATCATTTCACACGCAGAGCTGCTCTGAAGATCGCTCTGCCCTCTCGCTTTGACCAGGCTACCCATCTCTTGGCACGTTTCTGCTGGCCCCATCCCTTGGTTGCATCAAGAACTACGTCTCTTTTTTTCTAGATCCTCCCCAGCACGTTCCTGCCTGTCTTGATTTCAATATGAAGTACTTAACTTTGCCTTGGATTGCTTCACAGCATCAGCTTCTATAACCTACTCGATCAATTCTTTTTAATAAGTGCCTTTGTGCTTTTTTTTCTGCAGCTCTCATGCCTGGAGGGTTTGTCTGTATATTTTGTGAAGCAATCTCATTATCCTCCTCAGCATTTCCCTTTTTTGCTGTTTTGTTGCCGCCTGTTTTTCTGTAGCTGTCCACTGCCTTTTGAAGACTCCTTGGCGCGGTGTCTGTTTTGCGTAGCACAGTGGCATCCTGGGCCGTGACCAGGCTTTCCAGGCACGTTAGCAATACAAATAATGATCATGGTAACAAACAAGTTCTATATTTATTGAGCAACAGAATTCAGTCGCTGCTCTTCCTTACCCTTATCGAGCCCAAACAGAAGTCAGAAGTCGGTGGTGTGTCTGTCTAGAGAGCAAGCCTTGAGGGCAGGTGCTGTTGCCTTCTGTTCGGTGCAGCACCGTGCGCGCAGCCGGCGCGCTGTGACAGAGAATAAAGGAGTGCGTGGTGACCAGGTGCCCCTGGTGATCTTCCTGTTTTCTTTTCCACTGTAACTCATACAGAAAGACAGACACGAGACTGTGGCAACGTGCAGATCTTGTTCCCTGGAATGTTTTCTTTCCTCTGTAATCACTTCATCAGAATCCATAAATCAACTAGTTAAAGACTAAAAAGCACAAACATGACTGTAATTTGGGTCTTCCTGCCCAGTGTTTCTTTTGGCACACAAAACACCAAACCTTTTCCTGAAAAAAAAAATGATGATGACACCGGACAAGGATTCAGTGAAACTGGACAGTGAGGCCACTTGCATTCCAGGTCCACTGCCTGCTCCCATAATCCCTGCTTCCTTTTCATCGTAGAAGACTCACAGTGTAAAACAATGGTGTGTATTTCTGTATTTACCCTGGAAATCAGATTTCAGGCTCGTTTTCCAGTGCTGGGTGCTGTTAAGGCATAACTGGCCCAGGCAGGCCATCAAACGGTGTGGGAAGGAAGCCTCGGTTGAGGTGCCAAGGCTGCGGCCCGTCACATGCCCTCTCCTGGCTCCAGCAGCTCACAGGGAGATTAGCACCTTCTCAGCTGCCCGCGGCTCTGCCGGGGTGATTACAGCTCTCCGACATCCGTCAGTCACTGTGCTACAGCTCCTTCAGCTCCCGCCGTCCAAACTCTCCCAGGAGCTGCAGAAACCTCGTCGCTCTCTTCTAACCTCGGAGAGGTCCCCTCTGATGGGGTGTGAGTGATCTACTGAGCAGCACTCCCGCCAGGTCCGAAGGGATGTCGCCTTCACCAGGGAGGTGCTGGCGGGCAGGAGGAGGCGATGGCAGCCCTGGAGGGGCATGGGCAGGAGGAGGCAGGGGGCCGAGGAAGTGGATCTCCTGAGCAGCAGCTCTGCTGCTTTTCCTGAGCAAAGCCTGGCTTGGAGACGGCAGGTAGTCCCTGAATGGCTTTGTCCGGATGTCTCAGAGAAAGCATTGTTTCCCCAGTGAGAGGACTGTGGGGACTCTCTACTCTCATCTTTGAGCAAAAAGAAATTACTCAAAATCCTAAAACCTGCACTGGGCTGACAGGATCTGCCAAAGTGGCTGGCACATCAGGTTGGAGCAGGGTGTATCAGGTGTGGAAGCTACCAAGCTTTTCAGAAAACATGGAGTATTTTAGTCAGGAGAGCAGCAGCAGTGTTTGAAAGGTTGTGAGGGCATCTGATCCCACGCTACTGCTGTCGGCCCCTCCTTGAATCGAGGGGACAATGGCGGAGTTGAGGGCTCCCAGCCCTGTTGCCTGTACTTGAATCTTGTGACAGAAAAAGAGCAAAACCATTTTGCTTGTGAATTTTTCATACAGAAAAGCATTTTAACCAAAGCACATCGCTGTTGTGTCCTCTCACCCCAGGGACCAGCTGTTGGTGTCTCTCTCCACATCCCTCCCAGCATGATGGCCCTGACTCACTGTGTCCCGCTCACACCACTCTGTTCTGTGCTGGCTCTCCCCAGGGCAGTCATGCTGCCCCGGCTGAACAGCCACCCTCCTTGCTTGCTCAGATTATTTTTGTCTCCCTTTGCCAATAAAAAAAAAAATCCCTCCCAGTTTTACTGTTTTCCATTTGACACGTGGATTTTTCTCATGTGCGTTTCCTCCTCCTTTGGCCAGGGGTGGAGGGAGGAGAGTATCCTGGATAACCTAATGCGACAGGAATTTTCACGTGCTTTTCCACCTCAGGTGAAATAGTCCCCAGAACGGTGTCAGTGATGTTCCCTGGGCCAAAGCGCCGATGCCTCCCAGCGGAAGATGTCCTGGAGCAGCAGAGACCCACCCCCTAATCCATGGGCTCTGCTCACCTCCTCAGGGCACCAGTTCCTGGCCCTTACTGGGAAACCAAAGGTACGCAAAATCTGAGTGACTGTGGGAAAATCTCTGCACCAGGACACCGATGCAGGGACCTTGTAGTGTTGTTACAGGTCGGGGGGGTGGGATTTGTGGGTGGCTGGAGTATGAGGAACAGGTGTAAGTGGTGTATGAAATTGTCCTGGCTGCTCAAAAGATTAGAATAAAGAGCATAAAGTAAAAAACCCCACAAAGTACAAAATAACAGCATCTAATACTTGAAGTATTCAATCCTGTCTGCAAATGCAGGTTGTGTTTAATTAAACCTTAACCTTCTGAGTTAGGCCTGGGTGCTCCCGCCAGCTCTGAGCACCCATCTGTGAGGGTGCTGGCTCTGGGTTGGGGGTGCTAGGCCAAGTTTAACAGAGCTCTGGACCTCAGTGGTGCCCGAGGTGAAACGTGTGGCTCAGGGCATCTTGCATCGTTTACTGGTGGCTGTTTCGCTGCTGGCCTGTATTTCCCAGCTGAAATAAGGTAACCAGTGCTACAGAAAACACTGGTTTTCCTGGGAGCATGGAGCTGGTGGTTGGAAGAGGATGAGGAAGGCATCCTTCTTCTGCCCCTCTGTGTTGACCTTCGGGCGGGTGGAGAACGATCTCAGAACTTGTAGGACCCTACAGATGAGCGTACGTCTGAGCGTACCGGGATGCCGGGGAGCAGCGGGCCTGGAGCTGCGAGCAGAGTTAAGGGACTCAGATTCCCGCTCCAGGGTCAGTTCACAAGACCAGGAGTTTTCCAGCTGGTACGTGAGGATTTTGGGAGCAGCTGACTGCCTCCTCCTGCATGCACACCCCCTCCAGCGCTTGGGTTCCCCGGCACTAGGCCAACCCTGTCATCTGGCATCTGTCAAATTCCTGAGGGAGGGCAGTGGAGTGCAAGGCAGTGGGCTCAGCTACCTCTGCTGATCCAATGAAACGGGCAGGGTGGAGGCTGTGTTTTGAAGAATGCATGTTAACTCCCCTAGTTTCTGAAATCTGTCATGTTTGCCTGCATCTAAAAGTCTAGTACGAGAACCAGGGGACACCAAAGAAGCTGGCTGGAGCCAGGTTCAGCACAAACAAATGCAGTTTCTTCACGCAACAGGGAGCAGACCCGTGGAACTCCTTGCCAAAGGTTGTTGTGGGTGCAAGAAGGTTAAGTAGATTCAGGGGAAGACCAGGCAAAAATGTGGGAAGCAATTAACTGCTGGTTTCTAAATAACAAAACGCTGTGGTCTTTAGGAAGAGCCCAAACCAGCTGGAGGCTGGGATGGTACTTGTGGAAACTCCTGCCTTGTCCTTCCGCTTGCCTCCATGTTCCAGTTACGGTTGCTGCTTATCGCTTTTCAGACTTGAAGAGTTAGAAGAATCTTGTCAGGGTATTTATGCCAGTGTGAATGGCTGTGTTTCAGAGCACAGACCCTGTGTGGTGGTCAGTCTTCCTCCTGACATTCTCTGTGTAAGATGGTGTCTGGGACGTGCTCCCCGGGACACCTGCAGTGTTATAAATGGGCCCAGAAAAATGCTTCACTCCCCGCCCCCAGCAAGCCAGACTTAGCGGTGTCCTGAATGTTACCTTGGGATGATATTTCACATTGCCCTTTCCAAGCCCTTTATCCCATTAGTGTTTTTCTGACGTGAAAAAGATCTACTTGGACTGGGGAAAGGGAGAAGAATAAGGCTACTGTTCTAACGGTGCCAGCATGGCTGACACAACACTCTGCTACGTACCCTCCTCGCTGACATGGTGAAACTTGTAAATGTAGATCAAGGCCTAATTTATTAGCAAAACTACACTTTATATCTGTTACCCCACTGTTGAGTGACAGGGGAACAATGTGTAGCTGATCAGAACCAGGAGCGTTTGTCTTGTTTAGAAGTTACAGTTGTCTGATAAACTGTTCTGCTTTGGAGCTCTGAGTTGCTGTAACTGCAGGTATCGGGGGTTTAGGGGGTAATATTTCCCCTTGATTCTGTGTAGTCACTGAAGCAGTGTCTAATTGTTGCCTTTTCTGGCCTTTGGTCACAGATTATTTGAACAG